TCATAATAAATTTGGCAGCAAAATAAATTAATCTCGTTAATAAAAGAAGTATTTAAATTATTATCTTTCGAGAACTGAAATGATATAAAGATCTTGACAAAAAGGAAGACGCACAATCAAATTCTTCAATAATGGAAAATGGATCCGATATGAAAAATGAAGGATTATAAAATCTTTCCATTGGCCTATCATGACGTTCCATGTGGCATCATCCGAAAAGGAAGCTAAGGCCACCCCTCCCCAATAAATAGGATTCTTGGTCAATTCATTTGACACACCGCAGTTCATTTGAAGACTCGCGCAAGGGTAAATCTTTCTTTACTCTCTGCATTGTTCTTTGTGTTCTTCGTGTCCTTCGAAGCGTTCTTCGTCGAAAAGTTACCGATTTGGACAAATGATCCAATATTGGTTGATGGATCAATGAAGTAATGTTCTTCGTTGTATGCCCAAGCCGGAGGAAATATCAAAACGCTAAAGCCATTGAAGAATCCGTCAAAGTCAAGGGAAAACCTCCAAAGCTCCTCCCAAAGCTTCAAAATGTTCATCGCGTTCTTTACCAAATAATCAAATATGTTCTTCTTCGATTCAAAAGTCAAAGGGACACGCCGCCAAAAAGCGTTAGGAGCACCAAATCCACCTCATCAAAGATCAAAGTCTCAGATCATCCAAAGAAAATATTAAATACAAAGACGATGATCAAAATCGCCCATACGGAGACCAAAGCCCTCCAAAAGCCGGCAAAGCTAAACCGAAGACCAAATCTTTTCGGATTAAAGAAGCCATCCAAATGCAAGTCGGAAAATAAATCGACTCGAGAAGAGAATCATATGATCAAAATAGAGAATTGGACCCACATAAATTTGAATTTCAATGTAATTTTGTATAAAGTTTGTATTTATTAAAAATAACACAATTTTTGTCTATATTTGTAATAGCTTTTTTGTATATTCAATACTAATGCCACAATATTACTTTAGATCACCAATGATGGTTTCCTATGTGGACATGGACCTATCTTTTGAGAAACCAAGAAGATTACGACATAACTAGGTCACTAAATCTATATATTTAGTAAAACAAAATTAATCCAACAGCCAATTACACAACAAATAACCAACTGAAACACCTATTAACCTACAATGTATCATAACGTAGTCCTAACATACATTATACCCTGATTGATATTTCTTTGTTGGTTTTAAAAATAGTGTCTTAAGTTGCAAGGCAAAGCTTTACCTCTTTTAAATGAAATATTCTTTTTAACAATTTTAACAATTTGTAAAATGTATTTGTTATAATAAGCATATAAATATAGTCAATTTTATTTTACGGTAAATATTTTGTTAGGCTGAAAATAAAAATTGATAGTTTTAAGGAAAAAAGCCCAAATGTCCAAGGAAAATCCTCATTTCGGTTATCCTAATTTGTACAAGGTGAAAAATGAGTATTTTTTTAAGAAAAAGGGACTCTCGGAGGCAAGGCTTAGTTGGCTAGCCCTCGCATGTGCAGTTGAGGCATTAGCTGCAAAAAAACAATTGGTCATGTTGTTGGTGTTCATTGGTTATTTTATTGTGCCTTCCGTTGTTATTTTTCTATTGGGAAGCTGTAAAAAAGATTGATTGCATTTGCACTGTTTTGGAAGACCTAGAATGTAGCTTTCCTTATCAAAAGGGGAGGCCTAGGTTTGACTCTATTTGTTAAAAGACCAATGGCCTAATAACTTCTGCAGGTGAGTCAGCACGTAACAGTCACACTTATTTACAAAAACGTCATGACAGGGGAGGCTATTTCAGAGATGTTACAAAAATTGTCAAGCTGGAGTGTGAATTTTTCCCCCGCTTCTTACAACTACATTAGCAAAAGGTTCTTTTGCCTCAACTCATTTTTTCCATTTGGCTGATGAGTACAACTTTTCTTCGCAGGAATTTTTTTTATGGACTCGGAGATTGGCATTTAAGCAAGGGTATCATCGTGATAAGCCTCTAGCAACGGCAAAAGCTCTTTACGTGCAGTTGCTATAAAAATCTGCATATGCGGATAGAGTAAGTTATGGTTAATTTGTAGTTGTTGTTGTATGTAAAGGTAAATGGAGATAGGAGTATTATGTGTCCATATTGTGGATCCCTCTCCAATCTCTGTGGAGGTTTTCAGATTATTAAGTATTGGGGTCAACAATGTTTTGCTAACATTTGGACTTTCTTCTTTTGTACTCAATTGCGTTGAACTTGCATCGTCTGTAGTATCTGCAATATGTTATAAATGTTTGTAAAAGTACATTGATTTCAAATTATTTGCCTTATATGTTTGACGAAATCGAAACCTTGCCTTACCAGCGGCTATTGATTGAAATTGCTGAACTTTGTCTCTGTTGAGTATTTCGCCAAACAAAAACTTGGTTTGTTTGATGCACTCATTTCGAATTTGACAGTACAGGGTGACATCCTACGAAATGCGTTAATTGAAATGAGTACCTAATTACTATGTGTTTATTAACGATTTATAAGGTTATGAGAGGTTAGGCAATACGCCTACAATTATATATGTGGGTATTCAAATGGTCAATAATAATGTAGTCTATTTAACTGGCTATTCAAATGGTGTGTTATTTGGGATCAGCGATGCATAAAGAATAGGGTTAATAAAAAGGAAGTCTTTGGGATCGCCGATGTAAAGCGTATTAGAATTATGGTTGAACTTGGTCTTTGTTTGATATACATTTTCAAGATTTTTGGGAAAAATATTATTACTTAAGAAGGTTTTTTGTTAAAATTGGTCCAATATTATTATGTGACAATAACTCAGTCGTGCGTTACTCCAATAACAACTCAAGTGCTACTAAGTCAAAGTTTATTGACATTAAGTTTCTTGTTGCTAAAGAGATAATTCAGAATAAACAAATTTCTATTGAACACATAGGAACGAATAATATGCTAGCTAATCCACTAACTAAGGCATTGACATCTAAGGTGTTTCATGAACACACTGCTCACGTTGGTGTTACTTCTGATGTTGCCCTAGGTTAGTGAGAGTCTATGTTCTATATGAAAAACCTTCAATTTGTATTGTCCAGTTTTCTCGATAATAAAGTTGATGAATTTATTTTATTCTAAATTCAATTTAAGTTATTATGTATTGATCTCACTAAAGTTGGACCAGTTGGAAATAGACATGATATTGATCACATTGCATGAAATTTTCATGGTGCTCATCATATTTCATATATATCACTAAGTGTATTAATATGGTGATTGCCGGGGTTTAACCATGATTTATAATGTGGTGACTGCCTCGGTGATTCTATTGTTAGTGCATGAGGTGGATAAGATTGTTAAAGGTAGTCGAAAAATGAATAACATACAGTTGCGCAACTACAGATTCGATAATATAATTGTTCAGGAAATAATATTTGCCAAAGTGGGAGATTGTTAGAAAAATATATATTTCCCTATCTAAATATGGGCAAATAATAATATACGATTATATTAGCTATTCTGATTTATTGGATATACTTAAATTACGTAATCTAATTGTAGAAATTATCAATAATTTATTTGATTGACTTATATTACGAGATTTGATTATAGAAACAATCAATTATTTATTTGATTGACTTAAATTATATGATCTAATTATGGAACAAGTCAATTATTACCTTATTGATATGAGATAAATTGAGCCTATACCAAATAGCGTATAAATTAGGTGATTATGGATGGTCTATTGATCACTATATAAGGACATTCAGTTATAGTCTCCAATACACTAAATCAATCATTGTTCTCTATTCTCCCCATCGGAATAGACTAACGAATAACCCATTAGACGATTTAGTTGAGGAATTCCGTAATACCAACTGTTCGAGTTCTCAATTCCGCATCAAAGAACTCGATGGATCTAGGTATGTTAATAATGTGTTTTTTTTTTATATAAATCGTTATAGGACATATGAATTGGAAATATGTCAAGTGCATTATCAATGAAAATTTTCCATCACTGCTCTCCAACACAATCAAGGATAAATCAATTGACGGGGATTAACGACTCATCGAACACTCCAATTCACTAAGAAAAAAAAACAAATTTTACTTAAATGAAGGGAATCAAACTCTACATGGACTCTTACAAATATTTCCACGCCTAAAGTCTCAACATGTAATATTTGTCATTCCTACTAAGGGCCTCTATCTACACAGCTCTGAATATCATAATAATAGAACCACCCAAGTTTAATCAACAATTTACCTCCGTGGCATGAAATATTTACACACAATTTTTTCAGGGAATAAAATTTTCGATCGTACGACGTAACGCGCACGAACACTAATATATATATATATTGTATTTGGGAATTCGCAAACATACAAATTAAGCTCAAAAAGAAAAGTCATATTGGACGAATCATATGCGAAAGTTTGAACCATCCCTTACATACTACTAATCTATTTATGTATATATATTTGGAGACGAAACCATTTCGCCACGTGTCTTTATGCAAGTTTTTTTTTTAATAAAAATACATGTGGGTCCCACGAGCTATGGACTGTAGTTTTCTATATACCGCTAGGTGCAATTAATTAGTCAAATTCAATCTCTTCAATTTAATATATAGTAATATTTCACTACTAAAAAAATGGCCATTTGTAGCGAAATCGCATCCGCTACAATTTTTTCGTTACAAAAGGTATTTTTTGTTCTAGTTATTACCGTAACAAATTGTGTTTTCGATTTGGTCAACCTTTTTCCTTTTGTTGCGGTATTGTTTCGTTACAACTACAAAATAATTTTATTTTAAATTTCAAACTAAATCTAAAATAATATATCATATTTAGAGAAGATATATATCATATATAATACATACATAATACTTATACTTATATATTAATCTATACAAATTAAAATAATTATTTATTTAAAAAATAAAATTACTATATACAATTAAAAAATATAAAGGAAATTAAATATTCAACTTTACCATTGCATAACCCTAATGGTCGCAGCCCCCTCCCCCCATTTTCCTCTTATTTTTCTTTTTGTTCTTTTTCTTCTATGTTCTTCTATGCTTTCTTCTTCGTCTTCTTCATTCTTCTTCTTGCGTCTTCGTCTTCTTCTTCTTCGTCTTCCTACATCACCTTCCTCGGCCGTCCAGCGTGCTCCGCCGCACCCTTCATCAACCCGTCGATCGCGCTCCGCCGCTGCCCGCCGATGTCCTCAAATGCCAACCCTAATTTTTCCCGTAAGTTTGAATTTGTTTATTTTTGTATTTTTTGACTAGTTAGGCTTTTATTTTTTTAAAATTTTGTTCATAGTGTTAGATTTAGGGCTGGTTTCCTCCATTTACAGTAAACTAAAAGCTTATTTATTAGATGTTTTTGATAATTTTTCATAAAAATAATTTTAATATCTATTTAGTCCAAAAATTATAAAATAAGTAAATGCGAAACCAAACTTACTAGTGTTTTTTAAAATTAATAGGCACAGCTAGTATGAAATTCTAATTTTAATACGAAACCGAACATACTAGTTATGTTATTATTGTTAGCTTGCTAATTGTTTTCTTCAATAAATGCTTGTTCTTTTTGTTTGAAATTCTAATTTTAATATGTTCTTGAATGTGTAGAATTAGGGATAGGAGAACCAAGCTTGAGCCAGATAAGTGTATATTGTGGATGCTAGCGATATTGCATTTCAAGTGGTTTATTAAGTTTCTTAATTATGTATAGGTGGCATACTATTTGTGTTTTGTTTGGGGGCGTAGACACTTGATGGCAACATTTGGCTTAATATTTAGAGAAATTTTTTCATAAATTTGCTTCTTCAATACTTTATACACTATTTAGGTTGCATTGATCGAACAACCACACTTACGGTAGACAAACAACTATCTAATGCTTTATAGTTGGTCAAACTATTCATCGTCACTTATCATGGACTTCTCTTATATTTTTAATGAATTGTCCCCTTGACATTATCATGAAAATAAGAAGTATATGCACAATGAATGTAAGAAGTATATGCACAATGATTTGATGCGAAACTGAATCTGATACTTTTGGACATAATTGTTGAACATACATTCTTTGGCAAACTTTTGAATATTACTTTGTAATTTTGTTGATAAAACTGAATCTGATACTAAAACTAAAACTGAATATGATACTAATATCTTGTAATTTTGTCATTTTTGAATAATATTTTGTAATTTGGGGACCACCTCCAAATTTAAATCCAACTGCCACCACATAAATTGTTTTCTTCTCCAAACCTTCTAGAAGCTTTTGTATATATGTATATATATATATGTGTGTGTGTGTAAGAAGATAGTGGTGCATTCTGCTGCAATTCATGTTCTATGCTGATAAAGCACAACAACTACCAAAAGCCCAGTCTAAATATACCATCATCACTGATATGTATAATATTGTTTGTGTTTTTTCTGTTACTCGTTATTGCTTTTATAAAGTGTTATGCTAATTCTTTGATCTACGCATATGCATTATAGATGACATGAGGCGTCTTTGAAATTGAATAGGTGTGTGATACCCGCCATTGAGGGACAACGTACTTTTAGGCAGAAGTCTAAGCGTCGATCCAAGCTTGCTGCATAATAGTAAGTTATTCATGCATCCATAGTATATCACATTACTTGTATAGTTTTTATGATATGAACATTCGAATAATAGTGCTAATATTCATATTTTTAGTTCAATACTACTATTTTCAGTGGTTATATAAGCTGAGGCATGTTAGTATTAAGAACCAACCTGAAATAAGTTATGTTAGGGTCTGAAAATTATTTACATGGCACGCTATTAAAGTAGTACTTATACCAACAAAAATTTATTCTATAATCATTACTGGATTTCTACAAGGATGCAGACATCAATACTGGATTAATCCTAGCAGAATTTTTCTTGCAGATTTGATTAGTCACGGCAGTATGGCTATAATTGACATTATTTCAGGTATGAAAATTATCAAAATCACTAGGAAATATTACTTTCATATAGGTAGTAAAGCAAAAGTGTAATCAAGCTTGTGTTTTGACAATTCAGTTGTGGAGATTGATTTTTCTTCATTTATTGCAATAGTCATGTCTGAACTTATCGCTAGCTGAAGTCCAACTTATTATTTGTCAATTGGTTTGTACAGTAGAAATTGTTCACTAACTTTATGGATTGCTTGTGTTGATGATTTCATAAGTTTCTTCACATTGAGTGTAATGGGTAATCATTATAATGACCTTTTTTTATATCATGAGCTAGGTCAAGTGAAAGGAGCTACATGCATCTGTTTCTAATTTGTGGGTCTTTAAGTTTGTTGGTTGATTATGAAAATCCAATCTACTGCATGGATTTATTTTGGGATTCTTGAAAATGAATTGTTTGCTTTTGCATTATTTTGTTTGTGGGAATTTGTCTGCCCAAAATTTATGGGGCTTGGTATTTACCTGTATTGTTTGAACATGTTTGTCTTGCACTTGAGCATAATCAATTTATATTGCTCAGAACTAAGTTTTATATACTTTCTCGGTATGCATTTGAAGCCACATGTGACTATTTCTTAGCTTATGATTGTTTTGTATATTTATTAATGTTGCAGTATCGATCATCCGCTTTAAGATAATAAAATTTTGTGAGTTGCATTTTATTTTCGATGATATGCACATGTTTTATTTATATGTACGTAGGTTATACCATTAATATAGTAAAGGTTTTTTTCACGGCTGCTACCGTTCCGGAGGCTGCGCTAATTCACGAACGATAGCTGAAGTGCAAACACTCTGTGAGTTTGTCCACATCGAGCCAATCGACTGGACATTCAAGGATGTACGTAACCATTTTTATAACTTTCTATTAGATTATAACTTAACCAACTCGCAAGTAAATTCTTATATAATTTTTCACTATGTTGGCAGCTCGTTCGTCACGCATAACTGCCGTGTATGTTCACTTTGATGCTGCGTGGGGCGATGCAGCGTTGCATGTAATTCTATGATGATAACTTTTGTTTGTGGATTGATACTGACTAAGTCCTTTACGTAGGTTGAACTTGCATATGTTGCTTCCTTTTGTGTGTTTGTTGCTATTCTTTGCCTTTGGATTGTATATGTTGGCTGTATTGCGAACTAGTTATGTTCCTAGACAGTGCTTACTTGGTGCTACTAATGATTGTATTGCGAACTAGTTATGTTTTTCGGTTCCGATACTAATTTTTTTTATTACTAAAAAAAAATTAAGGATACTCTTTATGTTGCGAAATTGTGTTCGTTACAAATACCGGTACAGAAAATTATGAATGTCGTTTAAAATATTTTTCTGACAATCAGTTTATTGTAACAAAAATTATACCGTAACAAAAGCCATTACAAATGCATGAACATTTATTTTAACGACTCTTTTATTACGAGAAACATCCGCTACAAACAAATCAAAAAACATTGTTAGCGTTACAAAAACCGTTACAAAAAGATTTCTCACGCCCGTTGACTGTTCACTTTTTGTTACGGAAAATGTCGGTACATAGACTTTTTGTAACTCGAGTATATGCACCGGCCAAAATCCGGTACAAAATTGTTACAAATAGCTTTTCATAACGAAAAATGGCCATTTGTAGTGGTTTTAAAGCCGCTACAAATAGCCATTTTTTAGTAGTGTTTGTTTTGTGTGGGATCTATTTTTATTATAATTTTTTAAATGCATTTTATATATATATATAAAAAGGCGTTTGTTATTTAGTTTGGATTTTAAATTTGAGATTTGAATAATAAAATTTATTTAATATATTTTTTATAACAAAGATATTTTTTTTTTTTGGATTTTTAAATTTTAAATTTGAATAATAAAATTTTAAAATACGGCTAGGTGCAATTAATTAGTCAAATACAATCTCTTCAATTTATTAATTTTTAATTTAATATATAGTAATATTTGTTTGGTGTAAGATCCATTTATATTTTTAGTATTTTATGTATTGTATTTATATATATAAAAAGGGTTTTGTTTTTTTAGTTTGAATATTAGATTTGAGATAATAAAAAATTATTTTATGTATTTTTTTATATAAAAAAAGTTGTTTGTTTTTTAGTTTGAATTTTAAGTTTGAGATTTGAATAATAAAAATTTTGAATTAAAATAATTGTATAATAGGGGATATTATGAAAATTTATTTAAAAAATAAAAGAAATAGTAAAGTAAGTAAAAAAAATAGTGATAATTTGATTATTATTGCTTAAAGTAAGTATAATAAAATTATAGTAAGATAAAATTGTTTAATATAAATAAATTATATAAGTTTAGTAGACGATTAAAAAAATTATAATGTTTTCATATTAAAGGTATATAAAAACTAAAAATAGGGATATTGTTTATCAAAGTATTTGATTAAAAAATAGTAGAGTAATGGTGCCTTTGTTTGGAAGGCTCCCCAAAATTTTCCTATTCACTAAATTTTTTCTCCAAAAAATATTAAATTAAATATTTATTTATATTTTTCATATTATACTGAAAATTAATTTTAAATTCAAAATAATATATCAACACTCATTTATATCAACATTATACAACTATTCAATTCAAATTTTTTACTATTCAAATCTCACTTAAGATCCAAACTCCAAATAAACACACCCAAATACAAAATAGTGACAATTTGATTATTTTTGTGAAAATAAGAATAATAAAATTATAAAATGATAAATTGTTTATTATAAATTGATGGTATATAAACCAAAAAATAAAGGGTGACATCATTTTGGTATTATATTATATTATTATTTGTTTGATTTTTGTGTGTGTCAAATTTTAAATTAAAATAATTATTATATTTGATATAAATAAATTAAAGTGATGTTTTAAGTGAAAAAAAATAAATAAATTGTAATATATTATATAAAAATAAATATATGTTTTGACATTTTTGGAAAAAAAATTATATTATATTTTAATACTCGTTCCTTTCCGGATATAACGTCACAGTTATTGTAAAAATAAATTTTGTAATATTTGTGATATGTAATAGAATTTACACTTAGGGTGTTTCTTTTGGGAAATTTTTCAAAAATTTTACTATTTATTAATTTTTTTCTTAAAAAATATCAAATTAAACAATTATTTTTTATTTTCTATATTATACACCCTTTATCTACCTAATAAGTATACATTTACTTTTGAAGAGGATTTTAAAAAATAATAGTATGTTAATGGAAATGAGGAATTAAAAGCAGTATAAAATAATTTCGCCCTTAATTTTTAGTGTAAAATTAATGATATGATGATAAAATAAGGATATTTACGAGAAAATGTAGTATTTAATGAAATTGTTACTTTATAATTGGACAACTCAAAATAGAAATATGTATATTTTTCGACTCGATGGAAGGAGTACTAAAAATTAATTTTATATTTAAAATATAAAATAAGTATATTATTCTAAATGAACAATAAAAATAAATTGTTGAAAATAAAATAAACAAATATTATTTTGACACTTTGTTACTTATATCTACCATTTAATTAGAAATTTAGAAAAAATAAATAAAATCATTATTGTCAAATTAAACTTTTTATTATAAATATAAATCGTTAAAGAAATCAAAATTTACATTCAATCCGATTTATAGATTATAACTATATACTATTGACTTAAAAAATAAATAAGTTTTTAATTATTATATTTTAATTGCAAGTAAATAATAGATATACAAATTATTAAAGTATCAAATCAAAATTTTTAATATAAATTACTATCAAATCAAAATTTTTATTATTAAAATATAAATTATTAAAGTATAAATATTATAAAAGAATAAAAGTATAAAAACAATAAGAATAAAAATTGAGAATGTGTTTGTATTGTGAAATTGTTTGAAAAGATAATTTTTTATGTGAGGTATAGAAAATTGTATAAATAAAATAAAAATAATGAATATGTGTAATATATTAATTTCTTTGAAAAAATATATATGTTATTTTTGTCAAAAAGATAATATTCTCCTAATATTATATAGGATCCAATAATTTGTAATTAAATTATAATTTAAAAAAATAAATTGCAATAACAGTTACAAGTTAATGAAATTTGACTTCACTTTTATTAGAATATTTTAATTTCTTTTACTAATACGATTTTTAACTAAATTATAATTTTAATTTTTTTAAAAAAAATGTAATTAAATTACAATTTTAATTAATAAATCAAAATAACAGTTACATATTAATAAATTTACTTTATAATATGACTATATATCACTAATATTATATATACATCATTTTTGTAATATCTATATTTAATTGATCAAATTTATCAATTTTCAATATTTATAACATTAGTGTAAAATATTTTGATTTATTCAAATGATTTTCATATTAAAAATTACATATTTGATTATAATAATTAATTTTAACAATTTAATAAAATTTATAATCACGCCGTGCATAGCACGACAACACCTAATATATATATATATATATACATATATATACATATGAATGGGTGAGCTTCAATCTAAAATTACTATAACTAATGTGAATAAGCACGATGATTAGTTTGCCCTTCAAATCCCATCTGTAAGTGAATACTATTCTATGTGCATGGATTAGATTAATTGGTTTAGGAAGCGTACACATGCATGCATTCTAATCTAATATCTAATCTAATCTATAATATATATATATATATATATATTCGAGGGCATCCTACGGGTAATTTTTTATTTCTTTCAAAATTATTTTGGTGGGGCCCACAACTTTATATATATTATTATATTAATTAATATATATGTTATGTTAATTTATAAATATTAATACAGGAATAACAAATAAAAATATAGTAGTATTGTAAATATTAATATAAAAATAATAAATAAAAATATTAATTATGTATGTTAATCACTATTTTGTATAAATATTAATATAATAGATTTAGCGTAGATATATGTATACAAATATATATTATAGTACACAATATATGAGTATCTACACAAATATATATTATAGTACACAATATATGAGTATATATAATACGTAGGTATATATGTTGTGAAGTGTAATCTATATATATATATATTATAAGCATATGTATTAGAGGGAGAAGGAGACGATACGGTGATGGAATGAATTTGATTGCTTTCAATTTCAAAACAAATACAATATGTCTAGTATTAATAGGAGCACAGGACCTTGAATACTAGGTTGAGAGATAACCAAAAATTTATCCAATAATAAAAAAGTACATATGTATAGATAAGGCATTCACACCCAATACTATAAACTGTTGTATGTGTCTGTAATATTCCCCCTTATATGCTTTTAGACAAATGTGCTTTTTTAAAACCTTATTATAAAAAAATTATGCTGGAAAAAATCATAGTGAAAGAAAAAAAGTACATCATTTTTGTATTGATTTACTCCCCATAATTTGGACTTTACTTGAGATCTTTAAGCCGACGCATTCTAATTTCTTTCACCAATTTGTTGAATGTTGTTTTCGGTAGGGCCTTGGTTGATAAATCTATTAGATGATCGGATTTGTTGCACATCAATTTCACCATTCTTTTGCAAGTCATGGGTAAAGAAGAATTTTGGTGAAATATGTTTGGTTCTATCTCTTTTGATATATTCACCCTTTAACTGAGCAATGCAATATGCATTGTTTTCATTTATAGTTGTTGGGGGATTTTCATTTTTAGACATTAACCCACAATTCTTTCGAATATGATGGGTCATTGACCTCAACCAAACACATTCTCAACTGGCTTCATGAATAGCCAATACTTCGGCATTATTTAATGATGTGGCTATTATTGTATGTTTTGTGGATCTCCATAAGATCACAATATTGCCACATGTAAATATGTAGCCGGTTTGCGATTTTGCTTTATTCGGGTTAGACAAATACCCAATATCAGCATAGCCTAATAACTCGTGTCGAGAATCATTCGGGTAAAATAGGCCAAAATCGCTTGTCCCTTGAAGATGGCATAAAACATGCTTAACCCCAGTACAATGTCGTTTTGTAGGAGATGAACTGAATCTGGCCAATAAATTTACTGCAAATGCAATATCTGGTCTTGTGCAATTTTCTAAGTACATGAGTGCACCTATTGCACTGAGATATGGTACTTCAGGACCAAGTATCTCTTCATCATCTTCTTTTGGTCTAAATGGATCATTGTTAGGATCAAGTGATCTGACGATCATT